AGGTCTCGGCCTCAACCCCCCTCTCGCAGCAGTCAGTAAACAAGGCCGCACTAAAGTCGAGGGGAGGGGACTGGTGTTGTCGGGCCGACTGGGCTCAGTAAATAGGGAATCACTGAAAAAGCAAGTCCGAACTTCCAGCCAAAAGGCCGCTCAGATAAAACAAGAAAGCTGCACTGATAAGAATCTAAGCCTCCAAGGGAAAGGTGAAGGCAGGAATGCAAACAACTGCCTTTGTCCCCATCACCAGGATGTGGTAACAGCCCACAGCTCCTCCCAAGCACACCAGGGAGCAGTGCCCAGCCAGGAGAAGGGAGCCCTGGGACACGCTGCCATGGACAGCTTCTGGCAGAGTAAAGGCAGCCGCTGCTAAGGACCACTCTCTGACCTCCATACAGAGCCCTTGCGGCTTTTTTACTTACGATCTTACTTAGTTACTCAGATAAAATAAGCCCCTCTGTAGAAATCAGACTGTTGAGTGGGTTCTGAGTCCTCCGGGCGGCCTCTGCAGGACAAGAACGAACTGCCCCTGCCTCAGGGCCTGTCCGAGGCTGTCCCTCTTCCTGGACGCAGACTGCCACACCTTGCTCTCCTTGAGAGCACTGCTTGTCTCTGAGCCAGCAGCCGGCAAGGCTCCTTAGCAACCAGAAATTGGTGCTGGTTACCGGGGGTGGCAGGGAGGGAGAACCGGAAATCATTGCTTGCTGGGCAGTGGGTTTCCATGGACAGCGGTGTGAGAATGAGTACACAATTTGAACAGACTCGGTGTCCCTGAACTGTCCCTGTGGAGGTGTTTGTGTGGGTGTCTGTCTGACTGCGCAGACTGTCACTGTAGACTGGGGTGGATCTGATGTTCCTTCTGGTTTCAGCTGCCACAGCTCTACCACTGAAAGCCTCAGCAGAGCTGCAGGCCCACCTTAGGGAGGCCGACTGGCCGTTGTTCCAGAAGGAAGGACGTGTGAGCAAGCCCTGGGACCCGGCTCTGGCTGCTGTTCCCGCTCACTGGCTTCCTCCTCGTGCTGTTGTCTGTTTTAAGAGCACGTCCAATCACACCCCTAGTTCAGCGGTTCTCAACCTGTGTGTCTCGACCCCTTCGGGGGTCGAACAACCCTTTCACAGGGGTTACCCGATTCATCACGGTAGCCAAATGACAGTGATGAAGTAGCAACAGAAATAATGTTGTTGTTGGGTGTCCCCACCACATGAGGAACCGTGTGAGAGGGTCGCGGCCTGAACGAAGGGGGAGAACCGCTGCTCTAGTTGGATGGTAGTGTCTGTTGGCACATTGGGGCCACACACGTGGGCACCGGTTCACACCCCTGGGGGACAAATGGGAGGTTCGTTTGTCTTGGCAGCACACAGGAGTCCTTGTCGAGCTCCACAGCTCAGGGCTCTGGCAGCCTCAAGGCCTTACAAGCCTGCAGCTGGGTCAGGTCAGTCACCAGCATCGGCCAGTTTGTCTCTGCAGTCTGGACTGGATTCCTAGGGCTGACCTTGAGAGGGAGGCTCCGGAATCTTCCCAGCATTCCTACCCCGCTGCTGTCAGGGTGGAACATTCCAGGCTGGCTCACCAAGTTGTTGGAGCTGGTCTCATGAGCACGAGAAGCCTCACGCTCACTCTGGGTAGGGGTTGAGGCAAGTGTGCTCTGGAACAGGGCAAAGAGGGTGGGGCAGTGAGACAGCCCTTCCCCAGCAACAGAGTAACCAGGGCACCAAGCCCAGGCTCAGATCCCACCCCTAACCCTGAGCCCTCCACCCAGAACCCCTCGATTGCCTCCATTCAGCAGTGTTGACTGAGCACAAGAGACCGGGTGAGGGGGTCTGGTTGGGCGACGGGATGCTGGGCACTGCCATGGGGAAAAGCACGGCCTCACGAACTCCGAAGGTGGACGTGGGCACTGGCGGAGCCCCTGGAAAGAAACGGTATCGTCAACAGACGTCTGCTAGCACGACGGGACAGCACTGAGGCAGGAGGAAAGCACTGCGATTTCGACTCGGGAAGATGCGGGCGAGCAGCCCTCGTGGCGTGATGGGCGATGTGTTGGGATGCCAACTGCAGGATCTGCTGTTTGACACCTGCACACGCTTGTGGGAGAAAGATGGGGCTTTCCACACACGTAGGAGTTACAGTCTCTGAAAACTGCGGGGGCAGGTCTACACTGCCCTACAGCATCAGCTCAGTGGCCATACGTTTTTTGCAGGATCTATTCATCAAAAGACAGGAGGACAAGGACACAGCCAGGGAGCAGCAGGGAGGTTTACAGGAGAGAGCACAGCAAAGACCCAGCCTGTCCTCAGAGAGCCCACTTTACACCACAGAGGACGGACAAACAGACAGACAGACCGAGGGGGCAGGTGCAGAGGAAGCTAAGCCCTTCCCTACCCCACACCACATTTCCAGGAGTCGTGTACCCCAAGACGGTACACTGTGTCCCTAGCTGCTGCTGGACACCAACCTGGGCAGGAGAACTGTCATATAGTTGCAGTGTGTGCCCCCCACAGAGCACGGGCCCCCCACCAAGCATGAGTGCTGCCCACGCAGCCACAGGCCATGAAGGAGAGGGGCCAGCCCAGCACACCTGCACCATCTGAGTATGGGGTATAGGCAGGGCCCTGAGGGACCGGGGTGCTAGCGGGGGAGGTGGTTTGGGGCTCAGAGAGCCACTGAGGTGAGGGCAGGATCCTGAGCTACCTGCAGAGCAGCACCTGCGTGGGCTGAGGAGCAGCAGGGGCAGAGCACAGATGGAAGTGTGGTCAGAGGGATGATTGGGGCCCCAGCAGCCTGGTGGGGAGCACGCCATGAGGATCGCCAATGGCGTCTGGGCAGGTGGAAGCACTGTGCCCACCTCGCTGATGGAGAGGACTGGCAAGCCCACCTGTAGCCCTCTCACATCCCATCCCAGGCTGCCCTTCCCTGTTTGTTGTCCAGAGCAGGGTGTCGGGCTGGAGCTGGGGGGCTTTTCTTTCTCCCACCGCTTTGTTAGAGGGCGTCCTGTGGATGTTGGGCCGAGTGCCGAGTTCCTCTGTGGAGCCCATGAGCTACTGCAGCTATGACCTCATGACCCGAGTGCATAACACCACCAGCAGCTCACCGGCCAGGCCACCCTCAACCCTGGGCAGGGCTTTTCACCCACAAGACGGCCTGCTGGTGCCTGTGGCATGAATGAGGCAGGTCACAGCTAGCCTATTTGGACAGAGAGACAGAGTATTGTGTACTGGGAGTGAGGCTGATGCTTCTGGCAGCCTCTCTGAGGGTGCCGTGTGTGTGTGTGTGTGTGTGTGTGTGTGTGTGTGTGTGTGTGTGTGTCCATGAGAAGGAAGGGATGCCTAACACGTTCCCTGGGGTGTCTGCCTGGAGCGGGCAGTCGAGCCCATCCCTGTATTCTCTCCATGAGACCCAGGTCTAGCATTCAGCCACAGACCCCGATGTGATGATCCCTGCCCACAGAGCACAGTCCTGCACTGCTCTCCCTGCAGGGCGGCCTGCGTCTGCATTGGCTGGGCCGTGCCTGGCTCTCGTGTGTTCCTGGCAGATGCAAATGCACTCCAGTTGCCTGGAAGCCAGCGCACTAGAGACCGGGGTGGCTCATCCTTGACATTCTGTGACAGCCACTCCTGAAAGGGGAGAGGAAACCACCTTTTCTGGTGCTGCCTTCCTTGGGACCGATTCCCGGCCAGAAAGGAGCCCCCGGCAGGCTGTTTCTCCATCAGAACAAGTGAAATCGGTGGCTCTAACCTGCCTCTGAGGGTGGTGGGACTGTGTGTGCTTGCAGGGCCCAGGGCAAGAGTGGGTGGTACCCGATGAGCAGGAGTGTTGATGGCGCTACTTGGGAGAGGAGGGGGTGGATCTCAGGATGCCCAGAAACCACAAACTGAAGGCCCTGGCCGACCAT